GATTTCTCTCCTCTTTGAACGAGAGACTCTGGAGGAGGCAATGGAACTTTAAGCATAATGATATTCTTATCCTTCTTAGAAGATACTGCTCCAATGATTTTCACAAAATTCATCAGTTTTTTCAGACCGGTTTTCCTTTTAAGTATAACTCGAAACTGTTCAAGATCCAGTTCAAAGTTTGATATTATCAGTGCAAGGATCAAGCAGTGTACAAGACCTTTATCTTTCATAATATTTGGCCTCATTCTGTAAAAGAAATTCTCTTAAAATTTCTTTTCTTACAACTGATGCATTTAATTGAAACTTACAGTCCGTTCGCGCTGGGCACGCTATATGTGTCAATGATGTGCTGATTCACTTCTTCAGAAACTGGACACACGACAACGTCGCGTTTCTTCATATCCTTCAATAACATGTCGCACCATGTATTAACCATTTCAATATAGATTAAGAGAGCAACCTTGTTTACATTGTCTGGATCCGATTGAATACATTTTAAAGCATGTGTAAAAAATGTACTCTTCCTATATAATCAGAAAGATGTAGTCGTATAATAGCATTGCAGATTTGGATATAGATAAGAATAGACAAATATAGACAAAAACTTAGAAAGAAATTTAAATTACCCTTCTAGATTTCCATTAAGAACTTCCATTGCATGTTCATATAACATTTCCAGTTTACTTCTTGGAATAATGTCATATATATTGTATACATCTTTGACATTACTCGCCTCCCTGTTACATGGTGGTAGTATTATATTTGAGATAGAGTCATCAGTTTGTAATTGAATCGACAAATCTAGCCTATCGATTTCAACATCTGCCGAAAGATAAGAACAATTCAATAAAATTTTGTATGCAATATATATATATATATATATATATATATATATATTTATCATTAAATATCAATATTATTGATTGAGGACGACTTTAAATGATGGTATATATTTAAAATTCAGTTACATAATAAAAAGAAAAGACTCACTTGACACTGTTTTCTCAAGTTGTCCCTTGACAGAATCAACATCCACTTTCATTCTTTCAAATTGCTCAGTTCTACGCTTGACTTTCTTTGATCCAAATTCTTTATTCAATATAACAATTTTTTCTTCCATTTTGCTTTTGTTTTCTTCGATAACAGGTTTCTCAAGTACCGGAGTTACCTGCCATCGTTCAGCTTCAAATAATCGTACTTTGCCTGTTCTCTTATTATGGAGTACCAGCATCGTCCGTGTCGAATCTTTTTCAAAATCTGGTCTGTAACCTTTATATACGATTTGTCCATTTGATAAAGCCAGAACAGTTTTATCTTCCTTTTGATCACGAAATAAGCCACATGATATCTCCTTGTCCTCTTCATCTTTAAGCTTACCATTCTGAAAGTTCACTATACGACAAAGTTTTATTTATATTTATAAAAAGGTCTATCTGAATGCTCTCTTTTTCTCAAATTATTGAAAGCAATTATTTAAATAATCAAACAAAAACTGAGATAAAATGATGATACTTGAATGTAATTATTATATGTGCACAAAAGGTGATATTAATATAAATTTAATGAGTGTGAGATAATGTTATATGTTTAAGTGTGTTATGGATAATACCGTCAGATGTTCTTAAATATAATAAACCGATGTGTAGTAACGGTGATATTATTTAAGTATAATAACGCAACGTGTCTATCTTACCAATAATAGGTTGAATTTTATTAGATTGCACAATCACATCTTCGATAACTGCTTTGAGTCGCTTCATTTTTCATTTAATCAGATACTTCATTGATACTTCTTCTTCTTCTTCTAGTGAATGGCACCGGACCTGAGATACACAGACCCACACGGCCAAGTCGATGAATATAAATAGCGCTAATGTTGTAGAAATCAAGTTGTGGGTTAGTATCAGAAATTTTATTTAGATGAGAGTTACTGATAGGATGCTACAGAAAGAATTCCTCTTTAGAAGAGGAGAATAGAATTCAGAAATAAAGTCCAAAGAACACACGCGTAACGTGTCTGAACACAACCGTACTCTACTTCATTGATATTATAAATGTTTTCGCGCGTCATGTATAGGTTATGTTACCGCCTCACATGCTCGTATAGCGTGGGATTTTCCGACGCCTGCGCGTCCCCTACTCATATAGGCTGTGTTCCGAAATTCACTGCCAGTACTGAAAATCTATAGTTTACGTAACGTATATTATAGATTTTTATAGCTGAATTGGCTGCACTAGTTCAGGGTTTATCTTTTTCTTTCCACATTGGAAGGGAAAAGATAAGCTCTGAACTAATGCAGCCAGTTCAGCTATAAAAAACAGACGCTATGGAGACCTTTAGTGCCGGTCTACAATAGGTGCTTTAAGCCCTAAGCCTAAAGAAATTGACTAATCACAGTCGAGTATTCTCCTCATACTTCATTGTGATTGATCAATTTCTTAAGTGCCGGTCTACAATAGGTGATTTAAGCCCTAAGCCTTAAGAAATTGACTAATCACAGTCGAGTATTCTTTTCATACTTGATTGTAATTGGTCAATTTCTTAAGGCTTAGGGCTTAAATCACCTATTGTGGACCGGCACTTACGGAAAAGCTTGTGCAGTGGCCCTAAGACGGTCTTAAATATAAGAACTGACTATGAATACCGGCCGTAGTCTGATACGGGCTTAAGGCCGATATTACATTTGTCGTACGACAAACTTTTTA